CTGGGCGGTTTCTGACCCTTCCTGCTCATCCTCACCACCCCTCAAGGTACGTTAAGTACCTTTATGTACACTATTATGTACCTTTATGTACATTATTGCGTACATCAGCAGGAGGGCTGGCTGTGCGGGGAGGCTGTTCACAGCCGGGCATGGCAGACAGCCCCCGTGCCCCCGCAGCGCTGTGGGAGCGGGGACCCTTCCTGGCTCCTTCGCCGGCTCTGCCCACCGCTGGAGCCCAGGGCAGCGCCCGGGGGGTCTCTGGGAGCCAGGGCTGCGTGTGCTGGGGGGGTATGACGGCGATCTCTGCCGTCGCCGCGCCCCAGGCACGCACGCCGCACTGCTCAGCACTGCAAGTAGGAAAGAAAAGATGATTTTTTTTGCTTCAAAGAGCTGCCAGTCGCAGCAGCTTAAACAATATCTTGAGTCAGGAGGTGAAGAGAAGCCCAAACAGCAAAACGACAAGAAAACCTGATTAACTGAAATGAGTTGCACAGGGGAATAACCTCACCATGGGTCTCAGCCCAAGCCCCTCAGCAAACCCCCCCGTGCCCCTTCAGCGGCTTCGCACCCGCCCTGAGCATCCTTCACCTGCTGGGACCGGGAGCGAGACCTGCCCGCAGCTCGCCGGCCATAAGGACCGTCTCACGGGCGCCCTCCGCCCCACTGTTTACATACTTTAAACCTCTGAAGAAAGTGGAATTCCATTCATGAGCATTTATCACTACAGAGATACTCGTCAGGACTCGCTCAATATTTCCCCATGTGCCCTGAACTAACCTTCCGAAAGAAATACAAGTATTATGTTACCCTTTCCGACGGAGAGGTTATTTTTGTGCATCATCGCCGGCTGCTATCAGCCAACCGCTCTGTTAGCACTTGCAACGCTATAACCTGGTTCAAGAGGAAGGAGTCATTCCCAGTTTTCTCCTAGAAAACACAGCTCGGTGTTTCCCAGGCAGAATACACTGGGAATGGGTAAAAAGGACGTGCCACCCCTGCGCAGCTTGCTGGTGCTTAAGAGAGTATCTTTGCCTCCACAGACAAACTGCCTATTATTCACATGGCATTAGAGGGCGAAGCATCGGCTCTGCCAGAATCACTAACCCCATCACTCACCAGCCCCACATAAATCAGAGACTCTATCAGGCTGATTATCTCTGCATGTAAAGATTTGAAAATACATAAATTAAGATTTTACTCTAAGCATAGGTGGCTTACAATGCTTTCTTTAGGATCAGATGGACCTCGCCGTAGCTAAACATTACAGCAGCTGCTGATTTCTTAATCCATTCTGAACACGAGCGTTTCTCCGTTGTTAAGCCTGGTGTGAAAGAAGCCTTTCATGGTTGAAAAGTCCCCCAAGAGGAAAATATACAGCCCACATTTTCGGGCCATGGTGCGTGAGCCGGGCACAGGCTTACCTGCCGCAAAACCTGCTCAACCAGAGGGGTTTGCAGGCGGATTACACAGCTCGGTGCTTAATTTCTTCTTGCTTAAAATCCGCATGTTTTTTCACATGTCTGCACTGAAAAATGTCTCCCATGCCTCTGACTGTAACTCATAATTTACCACAACAGATAACCGGCTGATGGAAGAAGCAGGAGCGTGGGTTTTGAGACTGAAGAGGGACTGTCGGTGGCTGGGTTTTATGGGCTGGGTGTCAGAAAGCGAGGCTTTCCAGCGCCGCCTGTAAGGCATCCCCTCCCGCCAGCACAGTAAATAACCTTCAGTCTAATTCCGCGGATTGCAGCATGGGCTTCGGCTCCGTGGCTTATTAATTAAGCTGTTTAACTTACTTATTTTAAGCCTCAAACGTACCTACACTTCTCTTTATGAACTCTGTGGGGCTGCTTGTCCCTGACGTTAAGCAGCGATCGCAGCACGCGGAGTCAGGGCATGGATTCACTTATCAACGAATTCATTGAAATAACGTGAAATTCCTGCCTGGCTGTTTTTCAGGCGAGATCCCGGGTCTCCAGGAGAGGAGCTGCACCCCACGCTGCGATGTGTTTGCCCTTCAAACCTGGGTCTCCCCCACGCCACGCGGGGCGGCTGCGGACGGGGACGGAGCCCCGCAGCCCCTCGTGCTCCAGCTGCATCTGCGACCGCGAGCCCATAAAATGCACCACGTCCTCCTTACGAGACCCCGTAACTCCCCTCATGCCCCAGCCTGACCATCAGCTCCCCATGCTCCATGTTAACCGGTAGGTGAACAGGATGGGGGGGAGCTGGAAGAGCTCTGTTCTTTTTTTCCCTCCCCAATAAGTATCTGCCAAAAAAATACTTTCTCCAGAAAAAGAATATTTAGCAGCAAGATACTTCGCCGCGTGCCTGTCCCCTGCCTCCTCACCCTTCCTGCCCCCCAAGCAGCAAGCGGTTTCAGTCCGAGCCCCGAGCATCGGAGCACGGGCTGAGGGGATCGCTCACATGCAGCATGGATCTGCGGGATTTTGGGATGCCGGGAGGAGCCAGAGCCCAGGAGCCAGGTAGGGAGAACTACTGTGCCGTGACACCTGCGGGCACCGGCGGCGGCCGAGGGTGCCAGGACGGGCGAGCCGGTGCGGCTCTGGCTGGGCAGCTGCCCGCACGCCAAAAAAAGCACCAGTGGCAGCCTGCAGAAATCATCGCTCCACGTGGTTTTGAGGTTTGGAGAAAATCAAAGACAAAAGGAAATGGCAGGCAGGCTGCGCTGGAGCACCAGAAGGCAAACAAACCCTGTGGGTTTTCTGACTTGTTTTTCTTAGGGCACTTTAAGAGAGCGTTTGCAATCGCTGGGAACAAATTCCTCGAAATGAGAAGCTGTTATTATTTATAATGCAATGCCTTCGCAGGCAGGGCCGGGAGGACTGTGCCGTGCCGGGCAGACACTGCCTGACTGGGGACATCGGCCACCCGTGCGACAACAGCAGAACAGTTTTCATGATGATAGGAAACCTCACGCTCGCCTGGTACAGAGTCCAGGTCTCCTCTGTGCGCACGGCAAAAAGCGGAGTACTGCTTCTTTAAAGCAGCTGATTAATTTAGAAGCCTAACGAGGAACCCTCTGAGAAGGGGCTAAATCCCCTTTAACCAGGCAGGTTGTCAGTGCCTGAACCGCACAGCGACGGGGGCACTTAAACCGGGCTATTCCAGGCATTTTCCCAGCAGCGTGCGACAGAGCGTGCCGGGCTGCGCGCGAGGCAGGACAGCTCGCGTGACACGGGGACAGCGGGCAGGGCTCATCCAGAACGTGGCCACTGCGTCGTGCTGCGGGTATCGCCCCAAAACGCAAACCGGAGACCCCTCTGTGTCACTAGGGAAGCTTCGTGGGAGGACAAACAGGCTGTGTAGTAAAACAGGGCGGGGGGAGAAATCTTCCCTGTTAAAACGCAGTGTTAAAATCACAGTTAAAAAAATGACAAAGTCAGGAAAAGCAGACGTTTAAAGTTGCAAAACCAACACTGCACATCCTGTTTGTTTTACGGCCACGTCGAACATCCTGTATGTTTTATGGTTTACATTTTACAACATAAACAGTCATATATTAAGCTACACAGTTAACCAAGAGAAAAACACAGGAGTGAAAAAAAGCCACGTGCAAAGCAAGCAGGTCGGTACGGCTGCTGGCACCGAAACGTCGGCATTTATGGGCTTTATGTAATTTTTACTGTGCAACCCTTAACGCAGTTGTATTCATTTCATTTCCGTGGTGCTTTTCCCCTTAAAGAAGAGTGAAGGGGCGAGATCGCCTGTGATTAATAACGTCAGCATTAAATGGTCCTGATTACCCTTTGAAGTTCACACATGTTTCATTGGGGTCAGTAGGTTGGGGAAGAGGGTCAGTCCCCGGCGCTGCTGATGGCTTCGCGCAGGGCTGGGTTATCACCGTGTCACGCTGCCAGAGCCCGGCTCTGCCGCGGCACCACGGCAGTGACGCGTGGCATCGGCGCCCTTGCCTTTTAAAGTTCGAAATTGGCAGAAAATTACAAAAGCTGCAAAAAATTCTGAATTTTTCTTATGGCGTTTTTGAGCTGATAGGGTCACCCTGCCTCTAGAGGCAACCCCATAAAGCTCCATCTGATTTAGCCGTGTCAGAATCGCACTTTCTGCATGGCTTTTGGGTGGCATTGGGACAATCGACTCCGTGTGACAACCTGCTCTTCAGAGGACTGATGCATGAGCACTTTGAGCAAGACAGATACACCCCTTCTCCCTCTGCACGCTTCTTCGGGCCCTTTGCACAGCCCCCCTCACCCCCAAAACTGCCGCTGCTTAAAAGATTGGCAGGTTAAAAACCACATTTGATGATACAAAGTAGATTCTCTTACCTGTGGTACTGGGAGGAGCTGATGGCATTAAACCTAAAAGGATTTTAAACTCTATCTTCCCTTCCTCCAGCCAGCAAGGTTTGTTTATTTTTAGGTGATTTTCAGCTCGGATAGTGCAAACCAGACAGGTCCGTATTTTTATATACATTATCTAAGCACTCTTTTGCCTTTGGCAGGCGGGAAGGGCCCTTGTTCTGAGTTATTAAATGCACTGTGGTAGATAAGTGTGCACTTCCCACTTCTGCATTCGCAATACACATGAATTAAGATTTTCCAAATAAAATCCTTCATCTTTTATAGGGCTGCCAAAGCCAGCTTGGAAAATAATGAGTTTATGCAACCTGTTTCTACGAGCTCTATGTACCGTGCGCAGCAACAGCCAGGCTCAAAATCCCACAGCACTGCCTGGAAAGTTCCTGGGCAGAAAATAAAAGGTCGGTGGCATCTGGCAGGACACGACTGAGCAAGTCGGAGGCTGCATTTCCAAGAGCAGGGGGAGCACGCAGGCAGCGGCGGCAGCCCACCTCCCCCAGCGTTAAGCGCTCCCCACCCAGCTGCACTGACAGCGCAAATTAAATGCCACTCCTCTTAGTTAAATTCACTGCCACATCCCAACCAGCCTCCCGGTCCAGACACGAATTCGGCATCGCGGGCCCACCGCCGACCAAAACCCTCGCAGAACATCTCTCTTACATGTCCAAAGGGATCCAGGTGGTTGTTGGTGAGTTTTAGCTTCTGGAAGGACACCAGCTGCCGCATCCAGTGCGCTCCCGTGGCGGGTGAGTCGGGGTGCACGTACAGCCGCCCCGGCATGGCCGGCTCTGCCTTCCCGGCCACCATCCTGCAAACACAGCGGTTACAGATTGCATCACCTTGGCAGCGGTCACCAGCCCGGACACAGGAGAGTGTTTTGTCCTTGAACTCAACCCAGCAACCCTCCCACCAGCCCTGGGGGGGATGTGCTGGGGCACGGGGGGCTCGGAGAGGCTCCTGCTGCTCATGAGGGTTTCAGGGCTCCTCGTTTCAGCGCTCCAGGCCAGCAGAGTCACCCCATCCCTGCTCCTGCATGGTATTTCCTTGGGGCAGTGTCTCTACATGGCGATTGAGTTGGCATCGGTCAAGGAGGAAATCTCATCCGAGTTTTGGAGAGGGTGAAGCCTTCAAAGGCCATTCTGCAATGGGAGATGGTCTCACACACTTCCCCAGGAGAAGGTACCTGGGAGCAGGAGTTGGGTACCGGCATGGGTGTACCCTCCGCAGCCATGCAGGGCTCCCACAGCCCTCAGCCGGGCGACAGCTCCGGTGGGAAGGGGCTGCTCCCTGCTCCGGAGCTACGTGTTGGCCCCTCACACCCTTCTGCCATCTCCCCTTGCCCCACACCAACGCCACCACCAACTCGCACAGACACAAGACCCAGCTATGAGACATCACTTAATGGCAACTTCCCCGTTACTGTGCATTGTTCTCCTCTTCTAAAACACCATTAAAAGCAATATTACCAAAAACAACAGAGACTTTCCAGCAGCAATAAAATGCAAAGGGAAAACAGCTCTAGGGCTGGCAAAAGCTAAATTAAACAGAGTTAACAACTATCCATCATCTAGGGCTTAATGGTTAAAACACAAAGTGGCCACCGCGCCGCGGAGCCCTCAGTCCACTCCTCTTGCCCAGCGGCACTCCAGGACAAAAGCGAGCGGAAAAGGGATTTTTTAAAACTAGAGCAGCCCTAACGTGCAAGTAAATTATGACAGTTTTATAGGATGTCGCCAGGCTCGTTCCCATTAAGATGACTACGAAGTTTTCCATTGCTCGTCTTTCCACCAGGCAGCAGTCGGTGGAAGGGTTTGGGAAAAGCAAAGCGAATACTGGCAGTGAGGGAGGCTGCTGGGCATATTTGGGGTAAAAAATCAAAAGAGAAAGCAACATGCCTGCTTCGTCAGAAAGCCAAAATCATTTCTGTCTCTCAGGCAAGTAACTTTACTATCAAAGGCACAACGGAGGGACGAATAACAGAAGAGAAGGAAACTCTGGGGAAAGAATAAATTAAAAGACTCTAAACCAGATCTGGCATTGGACTGCGACAGGGGGAATCGCTGCTCCCTTCGTCTGCCAGATCAGCACGGCTGAACCAGGGCTTGGAGTAAACCACCCCAACGTTTTGCTTTACAGCTGATCTCCTAAAAGCAAAATATTACTGCAGAAGAGGGGCATTTAAAACTTTTCTCAACTCACATAGATATCTAATTTTTAAGGCCAAAACAGACCATTAGATCATCTAGTCCAGCCTCTGGCATAACTCTGGCTGTGGCGGTACCCTCTTACACCTGCACACGGCCAGACAACCTATGCTTGGCCTAAAGTACCTCCTCCAAGAAGCCATCCAATCTTGAGCGCTTTGGGGATGGACAATCCACCACCTCCATTAGCAGTTTGTTCCAGCACTTAATCACCCAGCCTGTTAAGAATATTTTATTTTATATTTGTCTGGTTTTAACTTCCAGCCATTGGCTCTTGTATCTATCACTGCTCCAGGAAAGAGAGCTCCGGGATGTTGGCATCCCTCCCGTGGGAAGGTATTTATGTTGGTTTCTGAGTTTGCACAGCAAATGGTCGATCCAATTGCAATTTTCTTATGGAAAAGAAGGCAAACAGAGATGTTCTCTTACCATTTATTGTCACAGAATTTATACCGGTGGTCATCTGCCGGGACGATGTCAATCAACAGGATGTACTTGGTCTTGGGGTTCATTCCGGTCACTTTAACCTTGTAACTAGGAAACATCCTCCTTAGAAAAAGCAAAGGGTTAACATGTTAGTGAGCAACATGGAGCAGCGCTGGAACTGATGGAAACTTGGAGCGGTGCCCCAAAAGGCAGATCCACCATGTGATGAATTCACGCTCGGACAAATGAGCCACAAAACATTATTGCTGCTTATACGTCACCTGGATTAAACTCACCCTTTCCAGAGCATGGGCTGCACAGGGCTAGTGCAAAATGGGGCACAAATATGGGTGAGGGTATATGGAAGGGAGTTATGGGTCAGTGTCAGGGAAAGGTGGGTGTGAAGAGAGAGATGGAGGGGGTTCAACACAGCTCTCCTTATGGGATGCTCAGACAGAGCCCTCTACCCCAGGAGGCTCCATATGGTTTATGGCAGCCTCAAAGATGCAGAGTTCTTGTTGCCATGAATGTGCATGAAAAGGTCATGAGATCCAACTCCACGTCAGAAGAAACACAACAGCACACACAGCTTTCTCACTCACACCTTCTGAATGTCCGTGACACCAAGTCCCACCACTACGCCTGTGCAGTACCTGAGACTGCGTTCCCTTCAACAGACTGAAACCTGAGGATTGGCAAAGCCTGGGGGGAGACTAAGGGTTAAACCCTGCGGTGGTGCGGACCACCACCGCTCCTCTGGCCTCCCCGAATATCCCAAATTCACACCATGCTGTTAAACCTCGTTCAAGTGCATCCACCATGGAGCTCTCCACTGAAAATGCGCCCATCCCTCTGACTCACCGTGGACTTTAACGGGTGTGTAGCAACTGACACCAAACGGGCAACATCACATAAAACAGTGTATTATTAAAGAACGTTTATATATGTCTTACGTATCAAAAGAATCTTTGCAATATTAAAGAATATTTTTTTATAAAGCTATGGCTGTGAAACCAGTATATACCATCACAGTCTGGTCTGGTGATCCAAAGGAGGCGGCCCTGATGGGTACGGGCACTGCCATGAGCTCCCCGAGCCCTCGAGACTGCATCAGGAGCCAGGATTTGCAGGATCAGGCACTCTACATCCTCAGAGGAACCATTTTCTTGGCTCCATCTCCCCAACCTCCACCTCATCCAGTGAAAAAAATAAGTCCATTGAGCAAACTGGCTCACTGAGGCCTCCAAGCAACAGCCAGAACAGAAAATTCCGCTTTCCGCTGGTGTAAGGGGACAGAGGATGAGAACTGCTACATCCTGGAGTCATTCTAATTACCCTAATTAATAAAGGCCCAAATTCTGATGTCGTTTCTCCATCGGACGTCGAGGCTACTTTGCCCCCCCGTTTCATCCCTCCTTTTCCCGCGCGTTGCCCCCGTGCCCGGCCGAGCTGGCCCAGGTCTGCAGCACCATTTTGTCGCTGCTTGGGGAGAAGGCAACAAAATGGGCCCTGTTCGAAATCATTTCAATTGACTCTTTTACCCGCCCTGCATAAATTCCAGATGTTTACCATGTAATTAGCCGGGACTAAAAAGGGGTGGTTTTAGCAATGTCCGTATTTGATTTTCATTCATAAACTCTGCACTGCTCTTAACCTTGTCCTCCTACAGGTAAGCACCTGGATAAATACAGTAGGACATTTCAATTTGCGAATACACAGCCCAATTCACACATTGAAAAAAATTGCATAAGGAATCCAATCTGAATGCCAAGACTTTTTTTTTTTTTTTTAAATTAGGCCTTAAAATGACATTTGAAAATGAAACAAAAAAGAGGAGGAATTGATTAAAAAGCAGAAATGAGATGGATACTCTTTGACAGTTGCTGCGTCCAACCAGGCGAACGTCCTGCATCAGGGATTTTTATAACATCTAGCTTCTGAATTTCTTTTTTTTCCTCAATCATTTCATTTACTGTAGAACATCCAAGCTGCTAAAGTAGCCGGACTGATATATTGTAAATGTTAAGTGCTTTTTTAATGGCATTTAAAATTAAGCTTCAGCATATGGAGTTCATATAGCATGGACATGCCTGAGTTTATAATGTTCTTTAGTATAGCCCTCTAAAATAAATACAAAGAGCCAAAGTACTACTATAATATATACAGCTGAAATTCTTTAAGGATAACAAATGGGGACTCACATCTGATTGAAGGTGTTGCTTAACTTGCAAACCGCTCGGTATCTTGCAGTGGTAGCATTGTACTCGGCCGTCGGCAGACCCAGCTACAACCAAGTTTGCCAACTCTCCGCATTCTTTTCCAGGAAAACACGGGGTAGATTTTAGTAATTTGGCTGTGCACGGACATTTCATCATTATTATTAGCTGCTGCATTTTGGCCTTAAAAAAAAAATATGCAACTAATGTGCTGTCCAGGGACTTGTCAGCTTAATTTTCTTAATGAAAACATATTTCTCAACCCCTTGGCAGAGACTCATTTAGTAAATATCTCTTTGCAACACGATACAAACATGGGTTGTGCGTTTCTGGTGGGAAGGCATGACAAACCGAAGAGCTGGGTCCAAGAAAATGCAGTCATAGAGTTTCAAATAAAAAAAAAAAGAGCAAGAGAGAGCACCTAATATCATGTCCTGGCCCTTATTAAATGTCCCATTTGAAAGAGGGGAGCAGAAAACCACAGTGGAGGCACCGGCCTGCACCAGCCCTGCCCAGGAACGGGGCTGTGCCTACAGTGGGTCTATACAGCTCCCCGGCAGCCCTGGGAAGGGGCCAAAAACCTGCCTGCTTCCCCAAATTCGCTCCAGGTCAATGGAGCTACTCACAGCCACGGGCTCTCCGCTCAGTAGTAGCTTTGCATAACCGGCCCCTCTGCCAAATCTCTGCAGGCAGGAGCTCTCGGGCGGATGGGCGTCTCCGCAGAGGATGCTTCGCTTCGGCCAGCTTTCCCTGACAATAGCTTGCTTCATCCTCTATCGCTTGGGGACCGGCAGTGGCAAAAGAATAACCCAGTGCTGCAATAAAAACTTGCCAACGTCTTGCCAAGCTCTGGGAAAGCTCAGCCCGGTTTTGGTGGGGGGTCTGAAGCAAGACCCAGGCAGACCCGCGGTTTACCCACCCTCCTCCCCGCCACCGCGCGCAGCTCCAAACCGGGTGAGAGCTTCGCTGCGCGGAAACCGGTTACAAAAATCGGGAATTTGGGCCTTCCCAGGGAGCGTGTCGGAGCAGGCGGCATCTGACGCTCAGCGACGCCTCCTGCGTTGAAGGCGGCTGCAGCCATGCTGCGGCTGTGCGAACAGGGGAGCTCGGCGAGGCTGAGCACCGGGCACGTGCGCAGCACAGGGTAAACCATTAGGTGAAGTTTAAGTCACCAGTCACCAGGAGATAAAGAGCAGCAATTCCTGACCTCATCCTCTTTTGTTCAGACCCAAAGCCTGGTTGGACACGGTGTCCCGGGGCTGCAGTGAATGCCCTGAACGTGCAGACGACGACACCAGCCCTGGGGTGGGAGAGTCCAGGACCAGACCAATTTCTTCCTCTTTATGCTTATTATTTTGAAAGCCATACAAGGTGTGTGTCTAACCCACCAGCACACATTAGATGTCGTGGCTGCTCCCAGCTGACGTGGAGCAGCTCTGCTGCCTGCCCAGGGACCGGCCACGAGCCCACAGCGTGCCTGTGCGACGGCCGGCGCTGCCCTGGGGACACAGCACAAGCATCAGCCCCAACAGCCTCTTCTTCTGCAGAACATCGAGTTACCAGACCTCAATTTTGGACACGTTCAAACCCCACTTCTCCCTCCCTCCAGCTCAACCCAGTGAAGAAGGGACCATCCAGACTCCTCAACACCATCCTGATGGTCTCCTACGCCCCTCAAAGCTCCCTCCTGGGTTTAGTGGCTCTGACGGGCACATTCCAACCTCCCTCCCTGCGCTGGCGGGGGCACGGCGCTGCTGTGCGATGGCAGCAGCTCGCACTGCCCTTCAGAGGGGAAAAGTTAAACCAGTTTTCACGTTCACACGAGAAAGCTGCCCTCAAAGAAAGCCATCACAGGAGGAAGGTTACAGTGCCTCAGCCCTGTGCGAGTGGGACATCGAATACGGCATTAAAATACCATGGTCTGGCACCCGGTCAGCGGGGGCTGAGGTGCAGGGTGATGCCCTGGGGAGGGCAGAGGGGCTGAGCCTGGGTCTGGGGACCGCAGGCGGCGGGAGCAGAGCCAGAGTCACCGGGGCTTGGCACCGCGCTGCCACAGTCCCGGCTAAACCCTTCCCCGCAGATGAAATGTAGCAAAAACAGTAAAAGCCAGGAAAATAAACAAGCAGCACAATTCTGTAGCCCTCCCAAGCTTCAAAGATGATGTGCGAGTGAATTATTTGTTCTGATAATGAAGTAGTCACTGCTTAGCTAAGTTTATGCTAGGCACATTTTATCTCTACATGATATTCACAAATTGTTTTAAAATGAACTGTTAGAATAAGCATCTCTTGTTTATTTATTTATTCTATTACTATCCAATCCCCTTAACCATGGAGCAGTTACTGACACGGAGCCAAAGCTTCTATTATGTTCAAACAAAGTTTAATTAATGTGTAATTGGTTGGTTGGATTTGGAAGAGAGCGATAAGAGGAAAGCTTTGCTTTCGTTTGGGGCAGCAGTTCCCAGCCTTGGCCACTTCACGGGCATCTCGTGTTTTAATCCCCATGCGAATAGGCCCAGTTGGTCCTGGAGAACTGGGCAACTGCAAGGTTCCCAGGTCCAACAAAGTCTTATTTTTTGGGCAGGGGACAGAAATCCAATGCAACCAGAAAAGCCGAGAGCACCAGAGCTGATCAAAGAACCCAAAGCATTCATCTGAGCACTCCGCTGCCATGCTGCACGTCGGGACCTGCGTGTCTCAGGGACACTGGCTCATGCCGCGCTACTGCTGCGTGACCTCCGCAAACCCCTCGGGCCTCACCACCCTCCTGCTCACAAGGATTTGATCCGACCTTCCTTGCTTAGACGCAGACATCATTTCTGGGAAGGGGTTTCTCTAACCAGCACGTGGGAAGCAGGGAAGCCACGGGGAACTCAACTGGTATTGCCATAGAGAAAACTGCATG